AAGGGTTCTTTAGTTATTGATCGGAAACTGCTTTTACCTAAGAGGTCAATGTGACCTTGACCTTTGACCCCTTGACCCCAAAATCAATAGGGGTCATCTACTGATCATGACCAATCACCATACCAAGTTCGAAGTTCCTAGGCCTAAGGGTTCTTTAGTTATTGATCCGAAACTGTTTTTACCTAAGAGGTCAATGTGACCTTGACCTTTGACCCCTTGACCCCAAAATCAATAGGGGTCATCTACTGATCATGACCAATCACCATATCAAGTTTGTAGTCCCTAGGCCTAAGGGTTCTTTCGTTATTGATCGGAAACCGTTTTTACCTACAAGGTCAATGTGACCTTGACCTTTAACCCCTTAACTCCAAAATCAATAGGGGTCATCTACTGATCATGAACAATCACCATATCAAGTTTGAAGTTCCTAGGCCTTAAGGTTCTTTCGTTATTGATCGGAAACCGTTTTTTACCTACAAGGTCAATGTGACCTTGACCTTTGACCCCTTAACCCCAAAATCAATAGGGGTCATCTGCTGGTCATAACCAATCACCATACCAAGTTTGAAGTTCCTAGGCCTAAGGGTTCTTTTGTTATTGATCGGAAACCGTTTTTACCCAAGAGGTCAATGTGACCTTGACCTTTGACCCCTTGACCCCAAAATCGTTAGGGGTCATCTACTGATCATGACCAATCACCATACCAAGTTTGAAGTTCCTAGGCCTTAGGGTTCTTTACTTATTGATCGGAAACCGTTTTTGCTTACAAGGTCAATGTGACCTTGACCTTTGACCCCTTGACCCCAAAATCAATAGGGGTCATCTACTGATCATGACCAATCACCATACCAAGTTTGAAGTTCCTAGGCCTTAGGGTTCTTTAGTTATTGATCGGAAACCGTTTTTGCTTACAAGGTCAATGTGACCTTGACCTTTGACCCCTTGACCCCAAAATCAATAGGGGTCATCTACTGATCATGACAAATCACCATACCAAGTTTGAAGTTCCTAGGCCTTAAGGTTTCTTTAGTTATTGATCGGAAACCGTTTTTTGCTTACAAGGTCAATGTGACCTTGACCTTTGACCCCTTGACCCCAAAATCAATAGGGGTCATCTACTGATCATGACAAATCACCATACCAAGTTTGAAGTTCCTAGGCCTTAAGGTTCTTTAGTTATTGATCGGAAACCGTTTTTGCTTACAAGGTCAATGTGACCTTGACCTTTGACCCCTTGACCCCAAAATCAATAGGGGTCATCTACTTGTCATGACCAATCACCATACCAAGTTTGAAGTTCCTAGGCCTAAGGGTTCTTTAGTTATCACTCGGAAACCATTTGGTCTACGGACCGACGGACCGACGGACCGACAAGTGCAAAGCAATATACCCCCTTTTTTTCAAAAGGGGGCATAATAATATAAATTGAAAGGTCCTTTTTTCGCCCCCCCCCCCATAAAAAAAAAAAACAGAATGAACAAAGTATCAAAAACAAGTCTTTCTGTGAAAACTTTGAAGGGAACGACTGGATTTCATATTATGTTTTTGTAAGTACAAATGTACATATTAAATTATGCAAATAACGGCATCATTTTATGAATAACTATATGACTATTTACAAAAAGAAATTGTTCATTCACAATATGAAATAAATATATATCACAGAGTAGAAACAAACGAGAACATAAAAACATGAAATTCTACAAGCACAAAAAAATTATTGTCCTGTGATTATAATTAGAAAAACATGTATAAAATAATACAGAAATGTTTGCTCTGTGGCATTAATCAGTCATAATTTAAAATGATATAATTAAATTTAAATTGGTCATTTAAATGATTCATCAAAAGAGAAATTGAAGAATTTTACAATGCTGTAAATACAGATGAAAGCTAATGGAGAAAATGAGATTCGTTGTCACAAAGTTCTACTTAATAAAATCTATTCATCTACATCTAAGATTAATAACAGCTTTACGAAAAAATCTTACTATAAAAACCCCTTAAAACCACTTGTGACTCCTAAAATAAGTTAAAATATTGACTTTGATTTCAAGTCACACCAACACTATAGAGGTCATATGGTGATTTTTTTTAGCTTTATTTGTGGAGAAAGATCTTAGGTGCCTCTTTTAACACAAAATTTCAGATACATGCAGGCACTCGAAAAAACCACCAACTTTCAATAAGCCAGCTGGATGGCAGTAACAATTATTTGGAATGTTAAAATGATATGAAAATAGAAATGAAAATTCTACGAGACACTTAAGTAAGTAGCACAGCCCCAGTTTCTATGAAGAGATGACATAAAATTTGAGATTCAAAATAAAATGCCTTATTATAAAGGTATACAATACAATTGCCTACAAATCCTTAACATTACACATGTCCAATCATTTGGTCTGTATCTCATTCCCAAACAAAACAAACACACCTAGGGCCCTTAACAAGTATTAATGCACTCACTGCAATAACTAAATTACAACCAGTAAGCACCTAGACCTAAAACAATATAGTGACAAACATTAAGCTGGAAGAAAATAAACACTTAAATCATTGCTTAAAGCAGAATTTACATGAAAAGATTCATAACATATATATTATGCCTATCTTATAAAATGTACAATATTTAAAACAATTTCAGATTTTAATAACATCAATTTTTTTCTGCCATTCACAATATACATAGCAATCCAGACAAGAAGAAAATCAGAAATAAACCCAAAAACAAAATGTAAAGATTAACAACACTGGCAAGAAAAAGTGAAATATGATATGCAAGTCTAAAGTGAATGAGCTTTGGTTTATTTCAAGGACAACTATAAAAACCTTATGTAGCAGATTTATTATGTAATACAAAAACTTTTTTTCAGAACACCACATGCTAACTGTACACAATTAAGTATATAATAAATTGTCTTAAAGCTATACATTGCTCAAATTTGATATTAGAAAAAAAAATCGCTACACATTCACTTTGAAAATATAAAAGTATTCACACAAAGTAGATATGTTGTGTTTTTAAATTCTACACACTATACGTGGTCACAATAAACATATATAGCGTCATAAAAAAACTGGCAGTTTTTTTAAGGAAATACCAAGTTAACTCGACCTGTTATAGGTAACGCAGCTTCAAATACAGTTTATTCATTTTTTTGTTCAAATTACGACATATTATGTCAGAATTTCATAGATTTCATCAGATTTCTGAGATTAAAATACTTACGAAAGGATGAGCATAGTATATCTTTAATTGACATGTTTAGATGAATTTCATTTAATATACAGACACATATTGTATTATTCATATTTCAAAATCAAATAATATAAATATGTTGCCATCGTAACAATACTTATGAATTAGCTTCTTTATAAAATGGTGTCACACAACTCTTAAACTGTATGTGTAATATGAACACAATATATGAGTGAAAATGATTTCTTGATACTATCAATCATCAAGTATAACAATTTTTCATAATAAACTTAAGCTGTGACAAAAATCCCAAACTGTTTTGATGCACAGTTTACACAAACAGAATATTTTACAGCATTACTTATGTCGGACCCGACTGAGCAAGATTGCTCAGTTTAATATCACGATTTGTTTCCCTTTATCTTTATAAAGTAAATTGAATAATGATAGCAATAAGAAGTCTATATCTACCATGTGTAATGTCAGCTCAAATGTCATACACTTTGCTTAAAGCGTTTCAGCGTACTACCTAATAAGAAACGAGCATTAAACTTTGAAAATCAATGAATTATGTCTGTACACTTTTTATGCAATATACAAAACATTAACCTTCTAATTCAACATATACACAGATATTTGACACATTAATGAACTAAAAACCTATTTCATAATCTAAACTTCTATTAAATGACAACATAAACATATAAAATGTACACATTATAATGTTGGGAAAAGTGTTATGTCAAATTGTTCAGAAAAACTTTGTTATAATTCAATCAATTCAGCACCATAAAGTGTGTAAAACATGACTTTACACTCCCTAATAACATGACAATCTAACATATTGTACAGTATCATAGCAGTGTTATACAGCTTAATGCAATAACAATCAGCACAGCTGTTTACATTTATAACGGCACAAAGGGCGAGAAATCAATGTAAGTATGTCCTTAATAATCAACAGAGAGTAATCAATACCAAAATCTGTACCATGTTTTAGCGTCAAATAAAACCTACAGGTTAAGAGTACAAAAAATATTGTCCATCAAGGCTTTTCCAAATATTCAAATTTTATAAACATGAAAAATACACCTATATTTTAATAATTTATGATGTAACAACAGTTGACGAACTGTTCAAAATGGGAATAGCTTGTTTTTTCATACTAATTGAGAAGTGACGTTATTAACATTGAAACTTTGTAATGTTAAACTACAAAACACATCACGGTATATAATCTTTGGATATTCAAAACACTGTAACATAATCAATTGCACCAGGTATTACATTAACAAAACAGTACAAAGGCATTCTTCCATACTATACATTGTAGTAAAAACTTAAAAATCTCCACAGAGAAAAAGAAATGCCATGAATTCACAAATAACAGTGTATATTAATAAAACACTAACCATCATCCCCTAACTATTTCTAACTAAACACCCAACCTTCTTGTAACAGTCCACTGCTTGTTAAGGCCCCCACGATGACACGTTTAAACGGATTCGTTTCGATTTTCATTCATAAACGTTTACGATATTGTTTACCGTTTAATCGAAATGACCATATTGTCTTACAAAATTTCTTAATCATTGCCTGTAATCATGAATTTTATCAATTCTAGTGGTTTATTCCAAAGTAAACAAACGGAAAATGGGTGTTTACAACCCTCCACACAGCATTACCGTGCAAAATTGCTTGTGACATAATACATTTTTGGTAAAAAAATGGGGTTACAATGCAAAAAATGTGTGCTGACTCAACCGTGATGAGCCATGCACATTCTTTATATGTACATGTATTAAAAATAGAAAGAAAGACATCATTTGGCGACTCAAATACATGGTGTGTATAGTACATAGAGGTACCACCGTTTAAACGGTATCGTTTCGGTTCTTAGCAATCAAGTAAACGTTTACAAAAAAATGTAAACGTGGGAGCCTTACTGCTTGTTCAGAGATTAAAAGGATTTCGAATATATTAAAATTGAGCAGTAGCTTGTTAAAGAATCTTGTCAACTGGCTTTTTATGTTAACCAGTCTCAATACTGGGGGGCACAGGCTGGCTATTACCATTGGCAGTGCCACAGAAAATTTAAAATAATACTTTTACATGTATTTAATACATTAATGCCAAATAATTTCTCATCAAATTAAAAAAAACATGATTATTCTAATCTAAAGCACTAAATATTAAGATTTATTCTTTAAATGTGATAATTTTTCTAAGTAAGTATCATGGTTATAAGTAGTAGCTAGTAATCCCCCTTCGTTCTTCGGCTGGTCCCCAGACCTGTAGTCTATATGCTTGCCATCTAATGTGGTCATTTTACCATCCAGGGAACTAAGTATAGCATTTCCAGCACAGATGTCCCACTTCTTAATCAATGTAGTGTGTACATATGCGTCTTGATTTCCCTTGATTACTTCTAATGTCTTATACCCTGAAATACAAAACATTTTAATTAACCTGTGATATTTCAGATAGGTTGGAGTTTTTTTTTACTGCATACGGTAAAACATTGAATATAGACATATTCCCAAATGACACTTAAAAGTTCTCGATATAATCTTGAAAATTAAAAAAAACAAGCAAATTCGTTGAATTTATATCCCCCGCCGAGTACTGGTTATTATTAACACAACAACTGAAGACATAAGGCTTTATTTATATATTAATCATGGCATAAACTGTAATATTCTTTGAACCTGAATATAGCCTTGTACCTTCAAACAAGAAGAATTTTTAAGTTTTCACTATATACATATAAGGAAAATCTATGACCCCCTGGAGTGGGGCCAATTTTGACCCCAGGGCTAAAATTTGAACAATTTTGGTAGAGGACCTATATCCAGATGAAAATACCCAGGTGCACAACTACACATACTGATCAACATTCCTGTAAATTTTCATGACTCTAGGTCAAATACTTTTTGAGTTACATGCCACACAAGTTGAAAATGACAAAATTTTACTAAGTCAAGGGCAATAACTCTAAAATTACTAAAAATATCCAAACGAAAATACCCAGGTGCACAACTACACATACTGATCAACATTCCTGTAAAGTTTCATGACTCTAGGTCAAATACTTTTTGAGTTACATGCGACACAAGTTGAAAATGACAAAATTTTACTAAGTCAAGGGCAATAACCCTAAAACTACTAAAAATATCCAGACGAAAATACCCAGGTGCACAACTACACATACTGATCAACATTCCTGTAAAGTTTCATGACTCTAGGTCAAATTCTTTTGAGTTACATGCGACACAAGTTGAAAATTACAAAATTTTACTAAGTCAAGGGCAATAACTCTAAAAATACTAAAAATATCCAGACAAAAATACCCAGGTGCACAACTTCACATGCTGATCAACATTCCCATAAAGTTTCGTTGAATTCCAGCCATCAGTTGCAGAGAACTACTCCGGAAACGAAATTCTAAGTCAAGGGCAATAACTCTAAAAATACTAAAAATATCCAGACGAAAATACCCAGGTGCACAACTTCACGTGCTGATCAACATTCCAATAAAGTTTCGTTGAATTCCAGCCATTAGTTGCAGAGAACTACTCCGGAAACGAAATTCGGACGGACGGATGGACGGACGGACGCACGGACGGAAGGACGGACGGACAACGCCAAAACTATATCCCCCTCCCGATTCCATCGGCGGGGGATAAAAATCTTGAAAACTTCCTCAACCAGCAAAAATGCGAAAAAACCAGTATCAAACTTCAGTATTGTTTTTACCTGAATCTACTTAACTTGTTGGATTTTTTTTTTCAATTGAGAAAATATTTAAACAAAAAGCCATGATAAAATATTAAGACTTGAACTATATGTGTAAAATAATCTGCATGTTTTGAAAAACTGAGAAAAAAAAAACCCTGATATGTTATCCCTGTAATATCAAGCAAAAGTATCCTTTAGAAGAACAATCAGGTAAAATAAAATGTCACTTGGTGTAGAAATTCTGAATCCGTTCACCCAGATCTATTGGGTGTAGAAATTCTGAATCCTTTTTACACAATCTGTTTATTATCTAATGCTTGTACCAAAGTCATCTACTTAAAATAAACAACAAACATACCTGCTCCCCCTGCTAATGTAACATCAACTTTCCCAAGTGATGATTTCACTGTATCAGTCACTGAACCTTGATGAGATCTTGACACAATCACTCTGTGAGGATCGGTTTCAGATCTCTTTGTTTTCTCTTTCTTCAAGTTATCGGAATGACCGTATCCCACCCAAGCCCAGGCTGTAAAATGAAGATCATTCAAAATTCACATTTATAAGTATAATAATTTTAAAAATATTGATCTTAACCTAAGATTAATCCTTCTTGTGATTCAGTTGTCACTTTTTTTAATGTTTTTTTTTCCAAATCTATACAAACATGTAGTACATTATTCCAAAATTAAGTGGTTTCATTGTGACTCTGCTGTTACAACTTAAATATATTTTTTGAACATGAATATATCAAATATGTTCCGAAGTTTATAAGCCTAATGTGTTAAATGTTACTTTCAAATGAAAACAAGATTAGAATCATTTGATCCTGAACATGGAGCCAGATTAGCTTGCATCTTTTGACTGTTGTTAAGCCACTTAAATATTTACATGTACTGATATATTAAGACACTCTCATTGCCTTAACTACTTTGGTTAGTCACTAAGACTGAGATGTAACAGAATCAATGTGTGAACAAGTTCTATGACTAAACTTTTAAGCATAGCACTTTATTTTAAAATTTAAATTCTAATCCTTTATGAGCACATGGTCCAACTCTATACCACACAGGCAAGTCAATATTGACATAAATATTCAAGGATTAAAATATTATAACTTACTAGTTTCTCCTTTGTCATTGTTGACAAATGGGTTATGAATAACTCCAATGGTAGGTTGTCCATTTACTGCCACACACACCATTGTTGTTACATAATGTAACATATCGGAACCATCTGGAAAATAAATGTACATTATGTAGTGCATATCGTAAAAGAATTCTAGATGCATCTTGAAAATATATATACAAAGGTACATGCAATAGCAAAACTGTGATTTTTTCCACCTTATATATCAGAGGCCTCTAAAAAGCAGCTTCCCAAATGAAATTTTCTATATAATCATGCATTTTCCTTACGCCAGCTTCTTTACTTCCCAAATTAGCAATTTTATTGATAATATTTCCCAAAATCAAGAGGCTTTAGGCCTCTTTCTAATTTAGCTAGAAAAACGACTGTTAGATCCATTTGAAGCTATGATGCTGTTAAAAAAAACTAGTGTCATTCATTGGTGTTAAAAAAAAGAGCCAAAATATTAATGAATCTTTGCAGTAATTGGGACTTTTTGAGTATATTTTTCAGAGATTTTTGTCAATTGATATGGGTCTATTAACTCTAATTCCATGACCTGTCTATGGAAGGAAAAACAGCCCTAGCTTTTAATCTGACCATACCTTTGTCTTTCATTTCAGTATATTCTTGTGTGGCATCTAACGGGTCAATCCAGACTGTGATCTCCGATTTCGGTATAGACTGGTCTGATAATACCTGTGCCTCTACCTCTGGCAGGTGTAAATCTATATCTGGTATCTTAGAGAAATCTAATGGTGTTTTCTCATGTTCCTCCGACACAACCTGCAGTCATAAAATAAAGATTTATTATTGTCTAAGTTTTTAATAGTAATACTAGTATACAGTCTAGCATTATTTAATACTAACAACTGTTACACAGTCTAGCATTTTTAATACTAACAACTGTTACACAGTCTAGCATTATTTAATACTAACAACTGTTGAAGTTAACTGACATTGTGATCATTGACAGTTACAGCTTGAATTAGGACTCTTTTAACTATAAAAGGTTTTATACGCAAAATATATACAGTTGACTCTCGGTAACTCGAAATCCAAGGGACTGGGCATTTTACTTTGAGAGAAACGGAATTCGAGTAACGTGGAACTGCCCCCATTACGTTGACATTCGTACATGTATATACATGTGTCTGATTAAATGTGCAAAGAAGTAGGTTTGTTATTGTTGTTAGCGGCAATGCTGCAATATTTAACTGTTGAAATGACGGTAAATCACTTACAACTACAAATTATAAATGAACAAAAATATATCATTCAAAATTTAATACATGTATATTAATAGTGAAACATAAACACACAATTATATTTGATTTAATTGATCATCGGACGAAAACAAAAGTAGAAACTATCGTGAACCGTAAGTACAAATTACTGTATGCAAATTGACGGAACATTAATTATATAAATGTCATTTACGTTGATAACACACATCAATACCTAAGCTGTTATTTGACTAACACCCGTCAGACTGGCACGAGTCAACTTTCTTAAAGAAATGTAATTAAATTTTAATTTAGTTATCTAACTGTTAAAACCAATTAAGTGCTGAAACGGATTAAAGCCACTTATACTACGTGTTGATAATACGTGATGACCGGGAATTAAAAATTACTATGAAACGTGTAAATCACGAGTGACAACATCTCACCTTGATATCGCCGACCTTTGATTATTTTAGTCGGCTGTTTTCACACTTCGACTAATTGAGATGAAAATATGTTGGGCTTTAATTGACGGGACCAAATTTTCTTTTCGACTAAACAGGAGTCTCGGTAAGTCAAAATTTGACCTAAGCGGAGTTAAAATACAAAGATAAAGAAGGAAATTTGACGGGACTTTAGAAATTCTTCGACTAACGCCGAATTTTGAGCAAAGCGATTTTGACTTATTGAGAGTCAACTGTATTTCAACTTTTTTGGTAAAAAACATATTTTCTGTTGGTTCCCTGAGTAAAAGGGCAAAAAAAGGGCATGTTTGCAATACATACAACTTTACTTATAAGACATTTTATTCATTTGTGACTAAACATTCATTCTTGTTATAGACAACAACCACAACAACATCTCTAGATTATCTGACATTGTTTTTATTTGAAATGCCCAATTAGAACCATTCTACGTAATATTTCTATCTAAATAATTTACTATCATCTTATATATTTGTTCGACAGCAGAATTTTCATCAATTTCCATTCAATTTTTGTAATCTACACCAATACCTTATCACCTTTTGTTCTATTTTCATTAGAAATCTAAAAGGCTTCTACAGGCTTCTCATTCTCCTTTTTACTCATTACTTAATATATTTAGGTACATAATACAAGTCATGCTTTTTCTGTCCAATTCTTATCAATTAAGTACATTGTGTAATACTTTTGAGCAAACCATCATCATCAAATCATGTGATGAAATATTATGTCATTTACTGCCAGAGGACTACAATTGTAATTTACATAAACATTACAATAAATTATCAATATTGCACATTCTTTAATGATGTTTAAATCAAATGTGTCATTCTTATTCATGAAAAACAAACAGTCTTAATTATGTTTCAATGCCTCGGGGGAAACAAATTTGTAGATCTTCTGTAGATATTTAATTACCGAAATTCCATCTACCACAGGCATACTGACAAACAAAAAATATGAACATAAATATATATATAACAAAAAACAGCAAGAAAGAAAAGAAAGCTGAAACCTTATTAAATTTTAAAGAAAATCTTAAACATAACCTAATGAAGCATTTCACTAAAAAAACATGACCAAACATTCAATCTTTTAGCAATTCTAGCATGTTTCTCAATTTTTAAACATTGATTATAATGTAGAAACATTAACAACTATGTCAATTCTATAATAATACCATAATTACACTTTTACTAATTACAGTTTAATGAAACTAAACACTCCTGTCACCACAATCCAACAACAATTAAGTGTTGGCCCCCATCAGGGCTTCCGTTAACGGGCGTACGGCCGTAAATTACGCCCGAAAATCGTATCTGTACGCCGAATATTAAGATCAATGACGTACCGCTGACTTCCAAAAATTTAGGAATACGCCGAAAATCGTAAGCCGCGACGTACGCCACGACCATTTTCCGACCTTTTCTCACTTTCCTGGCGTACAATTGGATTATTTATTTAACTCCGCCCCCTGAATTGAATGGTTGACATGACAGCGATGGGTGAAATTTTGCGAATGCACCTGGCGCGTGACGAATTAGCGAGTGTTGATTTATGACCTTGATAAGCGTGAAAACAATGTGATTGGATTAATTGTTTGTTTTGTACGGATAACGGATAGTTAATTGACATAAACTGTGGTAGGTATCTGTTTTTACTTTAATTAGATATTGTTTCATTATTGTGTGCATCGGTAAGTTTTGAATGTATCCGAAAGTTTGCCGAGTCGGCGAAGCGTGTTTTTGTCTTTTGATTTTTTTTCCTTTTTGAAGAAATAGACGTTTTATTTTCACACATTCTATAGATGTTGATTTTATTTTTTTTCACTCGCTAATTATGAGAAGCAAAGTTACATTTAAAAATCTTTTTCCCTACCCACTCTCAAAATGTCTCGACGCTCACTTCTGCAATTTGGCGTATCTCAAAAACGTAATTAAAAAAAATTAATTTGGTCAAGATTACAAGAACGGTGTTCGAAATTATTTTCATAAAACTTTCAATTTACAAGCCTGATTAAATTTAACCATTTTGGGTTGTTAATGTGTTATGATTCATTAGATACACTGAAATTGTGTTCGGTACTGTAGTGTCTAGTGAATAATTTTAAACACAAGAGATATTTAAACAACAATTTTTATTTTACAAGTAAGAAATATAACAATGCTAAAGGATGTCTATGTTTTTTATTTCAGGAAATCTACAGAGATCCATCCTTTTAAAACACAATGAATCCAAGGACCACAAAAATGCTGTGCAGGCTGATCACATGAGACAACAGCTGTATGGTACTGATCCAGAGGTAGAAAAAGAAGAACCCATCATACACATTTCAGAATCTACTTGTACCATGATTGATTAAAGAATTAAAAGTTTTCTGGAAATATTACTTTTTTTTTTTATACCAATGAGCAATTATTTGAATGTTATCACTGAAGGGTTCTACACGGTTACCACTGTCCTTAAATAACAACAATACAGTCCTTTTCAGGGTAATGTTCTTACTTCTATTTACCCAACAATCATGTAAAGATACTTTGAACTTAAAACATTAAAAGGAATGACATTTTCAGAATCTTGTGATTAAAATAATTGCTTTTACTTGTATCATCCCATACTATAAATCAAACATTGAAACATGAAAATTATACGCGTAAGAACAACTGACTTCCAGAAATTTACCTCATGACTTCCAAAATTCCTTGAAAGGAAGTCCTGACTTCCTAAAAAAAATTCCTAGTGGAAGCCCTGGCCCCCATTATTCTAAAATGACCCCCCACCTTCTGATAAACTTATTGGCCCATAGGCCCCCCTTGGAATTCAGCCTAAATTGAACATTGATGCCAGGCTAGGTGAAACAAATTTGCCATGATTATCAGGCATATTATGTAAATTCGTAATTTGAGTCAAAACGTTGCATTTTGTTAGGTACTGGTTGGGACAGCAGAAAGGACTTCTGTATGATTTAACTCTTTGGTACTTAAGTTAACTTCAATGCTGTAATATAATTTTCATGGAATAAACTGATGAACAGTGCCCAAACTAGCATACAACATGCTGTAGTGTTCATATAAGTTGTGTTTCCATTAAATATTACTGGCTGCATATCAGTATAAATCCTACACAATATGACTGACAGGTGGTAAATTTAACGTCTAAGGTGTAAAAAATATGTAAAAGTTTATAATGTTAGGGAGCTTACATCACAAGCCTTCCATTGCATATAATATTAGAAATCAGACATGAAATCACAATAATAACACAAGTTTAAAATTAAAATACAACATGATTATCATCATTAGTATTGTTTTAGCATTAATTAGCAAGAACAAATTTTCTTGCAATTCAGGATAGATAACTATTGGTTTTCATTTGGTATCTCTTTGTTATAACATAGTTTTAAAATTTATATCTTGCAATATAACATAGACTGTTAACGTTTGTTTAAACAGAATCAGGGTCAGCTCGGCCCTATAAACAACTCGGCCCACTCCTACATGTATATTATCAATATTTAATACTAATGTCATTTTTAAGCATGTTTTCAGTAAAATATTAGTTTCACGTTCAAACAAATGGATATTAGCAGGTCTACATGTAGAAACCTCAACTTCTTTTCACCATCTATATGTTGACAAACTTATATTTGTGCGTCGAGCTGATTTGTACCAAGCTGACTTGTGATGCAGGGCCCTCAATCCAATTTGGGGGAAGCGGGTCGCTACCCTCAGCAGGGGGAATTTTAGTGTATGGGGGGAATTTTCCTCTTTTTTTCATGATCAAATAACAAATAAACTTATTTAAATATCAGCTGTTTTTTTTATTTACACGCATACTATTTTTTTAAAAATCCCAAATAGGTTACACTAAACTGTTCAGAAGTGATTGATAAGATTTGAAGAAAAGTTTTTTTAACACCTTACACCATCAGATCTTTATGCTGCTTAGCTTTCTTTATGATTTCCCCCCCCCCCCAAATAAAAAAATAAAAAATAAAATAAAAATAAGCATTGTGAAACACATTCAGACAAATGTCTCCATTTCCACTAATATGAACAATACATGAACCTAAAGTAAATTCTATTCATAAACTACATTTTTAGTGTTCTAACACACCTTTTACTAAGACAAAGCTTCCTTTTCTTGACTTTGTAAAACATTCGTAAAAATCGGCATCGCGAAAATATGTGACAAATGAAAATTTGTTTGTTTTCTGTTTACACATCCACAATTCTAGTTGTTTCCGATGTAAATTATATAAAATTAAATTGATTGTTTATTATAAGATCGTTTTTCATCAGTTATTTAATAAAGTATCATGAAAACAAAACTTACAAGTTTGTAATTTACGGCAAAATTTACCATGGTTGATGTAACATTTTGAAGACAAAAAAATGATTTCATGAATAAACAATTTGAAATCAAATTGTTGACGGGAATTGTGATTTTTTTCTGCATATTTCTGTTGAAATTTCAGCATTTTTACAGGATGAAAGGCCAATATGTGACGGTAGATTTTGAGGGGAAAAACAAACGGAAACGTGCAGAAATGTACTGTACGATATTCCGCTTACAAAATAGACGTCAAATAGATTGATTTTAATTTTCAAAAACAACATTAGTTTTCATTTTTCTCTTTAACACTTTATATGTTTTGAGGGGGAATTTTTACCTCTGTTAGGGGGAAAAAAACATACTATTTTGGTGGGGGACTGCGGCCGAATATCGGCCGCAGATTTGGTTGATCGAGGGCCCTGTGACGTCACAAGTTGGTATAGAGAAGAGTTGACAAACACAGACTATGGCGAGGCATGGCTATATCTTTGATTAGACCCTCGATCTTAACCTTGTGTCTGAACCAGCAGTGTATATTAAAGGCTCATTCCATCTTCTGTAGTATAGACAATGATAATGCAAACAGGACGTTTCGGCCCAAAACCAAATCGGCCCCAGTCGAAAAATCGGCCCCTTGACGTTTCGACCCTTTTCCGCGAGACGTTTCGGCCCCACTATAGTGTATTGCTTGATTGATTAACAACAATTAATTTAGTAATAGAAAGAGCACCGAAACACGAGGCTATCCGATTTGTACGAGGGGGCGTAGCCCCCGAGTATTAATCAGATTGCCGAGTGTTTTGGTGTTCTTTCTCTTTTGTATCATAGTCAAGCATAAAAGCACGTTCCCTGTTGTCACAATATGAAACCCCGGCAAAAATGAACCAATGAACGAACATCTGAATATGACATTGCTGTCGCTTTCCCTTTCTCTGCCGTCACAATATGTAAACCCCAGCAAAAATGAGCCAATCAATGGGCAAACTCTGGAGTGCGGGTAACTAATACCCGCACTCCAGTTAACGCACTGTGCATGTATATGTATACGATTTAACCCTGACACATTTTCAACAGAAAGGTCTCCAAACTATGATACAAATTACAATTAAACATTTATGACACTTTAATTCTTTGAATAATTATTTATTACCTTTTGATTTCTTGAACCATTTAGATATACGTTAATGTTTTTAAAGGTGTTACAAACAATAAAGGCTGGTTACTTACTTATAAAACAAACCACTAAAACTTCTTGATTAAGAAAGTTACTTACAATTTTTCCTTAGAAAACGTTATCTTTTGATCTTAATTAAACTATACGTAATTTCTTCAAAGTGTAACTAAATTGCTAATTAACTGTTTATACTTTATGCTTATTGGCAGTATTGTTTTGTGTCTTAATTCTTAATCTTTTAAATACAATATCATCTATATATGGTTTACATTTTTTTTTGTGTTTGTATTAAATTTTTACAAATAAAGTTTATGTTCTGTTCTGTTTGTATTGATTAATTTCCCCCTACTACTATAATAATCTAGTTTTTATACTAAATGATTAAATATATATATTAATTGATTAATTTTTTTATTGAAATGCTATTAATATATCGGTTTAGAATACATTACTTATTCTGGGGCCGATTTGGTAAAGGGCCGAAACGTCCGGGGCCGAAACGTCTTGGGTAGTTTGGGGCAGATACGTCTTGGGGCCGAAACGTCTCGAAATCATGATAATACGGGGAAATTGAAGACCGTCACCGGGACAGTGAAGCCGGCGCGGTCTTTGATTTGGTCGGCTATTGACAACATGTATATACAATCGCAACTTTTCAGGTTAATAATAATTCAATTTATTATGGAGTATTTTCAGTGAAAACAAAACCTGTGCAGGAGGTATCGAATGACACCTTTTAAACAGAAAAAAAAATAAACGAAACCTGTGCAGAAGGTATCGAATGACACCTTTAACAGACAAAAGATAACTATCTTTTAGAGGACTTCCCATTCATAGGCTTTGCCTACTTTCATTTTAATTTCTTACTTTATTGCCAATATCGCAACATAATGTAAAATGAAAAAAACTACACTTACATAAAGTCCAGGAAAAGCTTTAGCCAAGCCGTAAAATATTGCATTGTGTGATTCCATATCTCCATGTGAAACTAATTCTTTGGCACCTTCTTTAGTCTCACCCTTTACTTTTTCATGCAACGTGTCAGCCCGACGAATTTCTTTGACACGGTCTCCTCCACGTCTAGCAAGAACAACACTCGCTGACAACAGTTCCTTCATGCTTACCCGTTCTTCCGCGTGTGTAAAGAAGTCTGGCAGACCAAAGACATAGAAAAATAGTACAAGAACAATACAAATTACAACAGCTCCTCCAAGAGGATTAATTCGGACGTTGATCGGTGCCATGTTTGAAGCAGACTGTGCCATTTCCCCGATATTCTAGTCTGGTTAACAAGCGATGGTCAATAAGCGCAACGAAGCGTGATATTACACGAATGATAGCAAAACAGCGAAAAGAGGTGTCATTTTAACTTTTTCCGTTCTTATATTTTTGTCGAATTTTCTTTTAATTTAGTTTGTAAGCAATCTACAATACAGAAAAAGCAATGTTAAACTTATATATTGTGTTAATAATAAAGATTTTTGACAGGTTATATAATGGTCCTATATATAGACAGTTGTATATATATACTGCTTCTTTTTTGTCACATGTACAAGATGCTGGGGCCATCTTTATTAACACGCACCTTTTGCCTGTCGAATTGTTTTCTACTGTGTATGTCAAATAGGACATGTCAGTCCCTCAGCTAACCCTGCTCTGTACCCGCCCATTCTCATAAGTGTTTCGGGGTATGTATTTATATGATCAATAATGTGTTTTATTTAAACCATGCCAATAGTTATTCTTAGAATTTCATTTGGCGGGGAATCATTCAAGTTACCTATCTTTCAATTTATGGATAGGGTAAAGTGATCGTAAGTCGGACACGATCGAAAGTCGGACATTTTTAGCTGTTCATTAAATGTTGTAAAAACGTTTCTAACATGCCAATAAGTGCAGTCAAACCAACCTTAACATTTAAACCGTGCATAGTTGTCTTTCTTGTCAGCGTGGCTTACTTCCTGTCTTTCTGAATATTGTTACTATAAATAGCTCTATCGGCGCGAAATTTGAAAATCTGGATTCCAGAAAAGTAAGACTGGTCTTCCTATTTATAACCCTACTGCCAATCTATACTGCAAGTATTAAATGAATCATATCGTATTGTATAGGAACATATATGTTGGGGCTAAAATTCTGGTTTGGTGATGCGCATCTTTTACCATGAGCATTTTTAAAAAGCTATTGATCACTCAATGGCGGTGACCAACCTTTACCTAACCTTCTTTATGTCTTGTCTAAGTTCTTGTGTTTTGTATAGGTGTTCCAATTTATTTTCACCTTTACAGTGAATACTTCCTCCCAATCCCATTTTCCCCCTTAACCCTTCCTAACTTTTATGCATCCCTTTCCCCCTACACATTTTTAAATTTATAATTAAGCTTGAGATCACTTTTAAATAATTATAATGGCCCCTCCTTCGTCCAGTTTGTCTGCCCATCTTCAAACCATTTGGTTGCGGATGCTTGTACATGTAGTTGTTGCTTGGACTGAGCTTTGTTTAAGCTGCTCTCTCGGGTTGCTCTTCCTTTTAATATTAAAGTTTTAATATGAAAACATAAATGTGCTTTCTTTTATAAATCTGTGTGAACCTAATGATCCCCAGGTGGCGCTTATTAATTTGACCCCGGTCCAGTGTCATGACATGTTATTTTAGTTGAAAACAACAAAGTGATGCTACAGTCAACATGCCTGAGAAAAATATTTTAAGACATGATAGATATTAATTATAAGTCTGTGTGAACTAAGTGACCGTGCAAGTGCTAAAAATAATCAGAAAGCTTCAGGAATAAGAATTTAAAGAAGAATTTGTCAATATAGGATATATTCACAACAACAATAATTATAATTCTATCAGTCCTTAAAGTTGCACTGCTAAAATCAACCAACTTTGATCTCTCTTTACAATGTTGAAGGTCACTAACTGACCTTGACATATGTTAGTCCGACTGACTAGAAAATCAATAGAATTCGTGTACTGGTCTTAACCAAACACCGTACCAAACATGAAGACAGAATTAAGTGTAACATGATTTAAGTTGAAGGTCGATCACTAGCTGTCACTTAAATTATTTGACTTTCAATAAAGTAGCATATATTTTGCATATACCATTGTCTCAGCTGCAAGCCATGAACAACCTGTCATGTAAGTGAGGGGACATGGTTTTCATGTCCAATGTCTTTGTGACATTTACATTCTTGAAATGTTTAGGTGTCATCAGCGTCTTTCAATAATATATTTGAAAGACCCTAGCTGGTGTCCTTTACTAGATATACAGTACCACTTTTTATAAATGACTGTACATTTTGTAAGTATCTTGTCCTGATACTGTTTCGTTTTCATACAATTCTCTGATTTTAGTGCCAAGCTATTTATTTTTCTCCCCTATTTGATAATGAAACGTCTGTTTCGTTGTTGGTAACAAATCGTTTCCGCGTTTAATTACATTTCGTAAAATATATAGAAAAAAGAGAAAGCTAACCCTGAAAGACAAGTGAAAGTTTCGTATTTATAAATAGATACGGAAGATAGTTACTTTACATACTTCTATGATAACATCCTTAGTAGTTTTCATAATTTGTTAGTTATATACGTGCTTATAAATAGTTTGATACAAAAAATCAATATTTAAAAAAATTCGAAACTCAATGTAAACAGAAACGAAAATAAAAATGACTTCGATGGAGGTAAATAATGTTTGACATTTTCTTAAACATATTATATTATCTTTTTATGTTTAGATATTGTTGTATATTGTATAGATATTGTGAAAATGTCTACCATACAGCATTGGTGTGAAATTGGTACGAAGTGGCATTGTAAATTGAATGTAAATCTGCCATACATAGTCCACCAGCTTGACAGAAGTTGACTGTTGAACTGTTGAGTCAACTCGTCCTGTGGTCAACTCTCCCCGTGGTTTATCCGTCCCATGGTCAACTCGACCTCTATATTTTATTGTTAATTTATTGTTATACTTGATAGATTATCAGAGAGTTGAAGATATATCATTTAAAAAAACTTGAAAGATAATTATTGAAATTGACACTGGGATACATTGTTTACCCTTTCAGGTGGTAGTCAGACTATTCTCTCCCTTACAAGTTCCTCCCCTGATGTTTCATCCCTGACGTTTCTTCCCTATTTTTTATAAAGGTCATTAAAATGGATGTAAAAAAACATGTTATTTTATTAAATATTTGATTTAAACAAAATTCATCTATATTTCATTGATATAAATCATTGTCATAAAAGAATTATTTAAACACATTGATTTATAACAAATAGTGACAAGTTGACCATATTAGGGACATGTTGGCCATTTTAGGGACGAGTTGACTCCTTGAGGATGAGTTGACCAACAGAAGGGGATGAGTTTTCCAAATAGGTGACAAGTTGACCACGGGACAAGTTGACCTTATCGCGAATCAGTTACAATTTACACAGTACAAATTATGTATCTAACTCTAAGAGTCATTATCTAAATGGGCCTCCAGGGGTCTGCCAGCCCCTTCATTCTCAAAATCAGTAAAACACCTTTGTAATTACATATATTTGTATTCTGACACTATTATGTCCCCCACCAAACAGGGGAATAGCAGATCTATAGGACTTTGACTATTCAGTTTGAAAGGTCTTGTATGTACAATACAAGTGAGACTAAATCCCCAAAACAAAACAACCTTATTCACCCTGCAGGGCAGCACAGATTTAACTGAAACACATAAGCCTGAGAACAGAAGAATCAGTTATCATTGAGTGTCAAGACACTTTGGCTCAAAAATATGTTAACAACAGACTCATAGTCATACTTTTTTTCAGTTTTTCACTGTTCCCCTTGATCACAAGCAGATTGGCAGCCAGGCCATGATAGTTGAAACAGTCGCCATGATATTCCTGCCAATACGACAAGAAAGGAATATATTGAAGACAAAGGAATATATTGAAGACAAAGGAATATATTCTACACTAAATATAGATTAGCGATGGTAAAACTTCACAAATAACCCTTACAGTAACACCTGCACTGAAAAAATGTATTCCATCAACAAAAAAAAAAAAATGAGAAATACTATTGACAGACTTACCAGTGCATTAGAGTTTTCCACTTTGGGTTCAAATATACATTATTATAACTTTAACTACACTGTACATTGTCTGTTTCATTACAGAAAAGACTACATAAAGAACTACAACTGCTAACCAAGGAACCTCCAAAAGGTGTAAAAGTTGATGCAGATAGTGTGCATAAAAATATAACAGAGTAAGTCTGTCCGTCTATATCAAGATTGTCCAGCTTTCACAGTTGAAACTGCTTGTGGGATTAACATGCTGCTGTTCCATCCTTAGAATACATATGTGGGAGACATAATTATGTTTTTGTGACAAAAATCCTTTCTAGTTGAATATACAATGTAGTATACCATTGATTCTGTTAAAAGTAACATTGATATAACATAGTATTAAATTATGCTGAAAGCTGACTATTCTGGTTAAAAGAATTTATAGAATGAATATGCAACAGTAAATGGAAAGATGTAACTTTATTTGACAATACTTCTTTAGAAAATGGTTGCAAAAATGCAGTTTTGAATTATTTTAAACATTTAAATTTTGTTAATATTGATAATGTTTAATGAAATTGAGTTTATTCAATGGTAGATTTAGTTTAACTTGATTTATAACTTGAACTTTCTTAGTCTCTGTGATGATGATGAAATAATGATGGTGATGATGATGATAATGAGGATGATGATTATAATGGACTATATCTTGTTTCAGATGGATTGTAGATCTAGAAGGGGCAGAAGAGTCATTGTACAAAGATGAAAAATTTCAGCTTATGTTTAAATTTAGTCAAAGATACCCATTTGATTCTCCTCAGGTGTGTATTAATATAATGATATTCATTCTTCCATCAGACTCTCAGTTTTCCTTTACTTACATTGCATTTATAATATGGTCATGTGCTTCGTTTGCTCTGGAATTGTCTTAATATCAGATATCATAATCAAATGTTGAAACAAATGGCCAACTTTAACCTTCCCTACATTAGATTTGTTTAAAGCCCCATTTTCTAAAAATCAACTTGATAAATGTTCGGTAGGATAATGAAATAATGTTTGTTTCCCAAAATTTGACTCTGAAACTAAGATATTTGCATCTGAACATTGACCTACAAATGACAGTGTGACAGCTACTCACCATGAACATATTACCTGACAGCTTGAAAACTTGAATTTGAAAAGCTACTCATTTGTGTTTTGATTAATATTTGTTTTACTGTATGGCATTAAGCATACTTTTATGGTATTTGATATGGTGAATTCAACAAATTGAGTTATAAATATACACAGTACCTGTTAGTGTTATAAACCTTGTAGTGTTTTTAAATATAATAAAAAATTTTTTTTTAAGTATGAATGCATTTTTTTTAAAAAATGCACAAGGAAAAAGAAAAACAGATTAATTATTGTCAAGTTTATTTAAGTTAAAAAGAGCAGTTATAACCTATTAATTATAAAGGAAGGAAAACATAATCAACATCTATTTAAAATATAAGAGGTTGTAATTGACACTGCAATAATTTTGTCAAAACTTTATTGTCCTGTTTCCTGTATAACTTCTTTTTTACGTTCAAAGTACAATATTATACATGTTGTAGAGTTTAAAAAAAAAAAAAAAAAAACATAATTCAGCCAAGGGTACCATGATAAAAATGTATATACCATGTCTACCACATGAAAATATGACATGCTCAGTAAAATATCATACAATCTTACGGTACAGAAAGATAATATCTTCAATACATTTTCAGAAAGTATTTTCAACATAACACTGCACTAATTTTGTATTTTTGCAACTGGCATAATTTATACTTTTAATCTCTGACTGTCTCAAATTATTTGCCAGTTGTTTAAATAATCATTTAAAAAATTCTCTTTTTTTTGTTAAATTATGTAAAGCTTGAATGTGTTGAACCATGCTTAAAACTCTCACAAGTCTCTTTTGAAATTGTTGATAATGTTATTAAGATTTAGTTTAGTTAAAACATATTTATTTATGCTCAAATATGAAGTAGTTTGTGTGACTTGAAATCAGTTACATTTGAGCATTCTTCCTTGAACTAACCAGTCTGGTGTCACATGCAAGAGTAAACATTGTTGTAACCAAAGTAGGGCTTGAACCCACATTACCTGGGTTGAGAGGTAGGCATCTTTCATTACTAGACTTTTGCTCCACCTCAATTAACCAATGACAATTCTTGTTACATTTCCAGGTGATGTTTATAGGTTCACCCTCATGTATATAGCAGCTGTCATATTTGTCTTTCAATTCTCACTGATGATTGGTCTCTGCCCCTCAATTAACCAATGACAATTCTTGTTACATTTCCAGGTGATGTTTATAGGTTCACCCTCATGTATATTGCAGCTGCCATATTTGTCTTTCAATTCTCACTGATGATTGGTCTCTGCCCCTCAATTAACCAATGACAATTCTTGTTACATTTTTCAGGTGATGTTTATAGGCAATAACATTCCACTACACCCTCATGTATATAGCAACGGTCATATTTGTCTTTCAATTCTCACTGATGATTGGTCGCCAGCCCTCTCAGTAACCTCAGTATGTCTTAGTATAGTCAGTATGCTGTCTAGCTGTACAGAAAAGGTATTGTATATTTTATCATACTGCATGGCTGTTTGTTACGCCAATTTTCATTGGACGTTTGTGATGTTTATATTTTCTATATATATGTATACCGCTGATGCAAATTTTATGGATTAAAGTTGGTGTGACAAAAGGGATCATAGTAAATATATATGCAGTATTATAAATTTTTATGATAAATTTTGACAGGTTATGATTTATTGATTGTTGTTTGAAAATCTTGTTACTCAATGGTTAAGATGGCTGACCTCTAGTCACATGTGTGGTACTATTGCTGGTTTGAGTTCTATCTGGATTTCTGATTTATTTCATGTGAGATAGCTAACTTGGCAGCTTACACAAGATCCATGGTTCTACCAATGTGCCAGCACCTGTTTAAAATAATAAGCAGACTGCCGTAAACGTTTGAAAGCCACCATATGATGTTGAAATCTTCTTCAAAGTTAAGATCCAACCAAAACTCTTTAGTCTTAAGTATGCATGTATGTATATACATTGTATCTATTGGTGAAACAATACTAGTGATTATTTACTATTATTTACAAAGTATTTGTCTTTTCTGTGACTATTTCATGTTAGACTTTACTGTTTGACTTATTATATCTAATCAAAGTTCATGTATTTGTTAGTAATATCTTTTTTGCTGTTATCAAGGTGGCGCGATAGCTTAGTCGGTTAGACCACTGACTGTCACTCCTGAGGTTCTAGGTTCGATCCTGGGTAATACCCGTGGGATTTTTTAGAAACACTATCAGTGTTTCCCACCTATTAGAGGTATACTGGTACGAAACCCAGGTAATCCTTGCATGTATCAGTGCTATACACTGGGCATGTAAATGAACAAAGGGAACTATTCAATAAGAGCTAGGGACTGGTTCCTGGATTCCCTTGTATCTCATAGCTGTCTCTAGTTGCTGCTGAGGTGAGGACCCTACTGGAAATAAGTGCTTGCACTTTCATAGGCTATCCTTGACTGCCCACTCTAAAGAAAATCAAATCAAATCAAGAAATACAAAACAGTAAAGATGTATGTATCTTCTTCTTTTTTCAGAAAAGACCACCAGATAATGCAATATATGTTAGAACTTGTAGTAAAAACCCTAAAAAAACAAGATGGTATTATCATGGTAAGTTTATCTGTAGGTAATAAGAACTTGACATGCTTGAGCAACTCTATCTCTTACTTGTATATGTAAACCTTGAGACAACTCTAGTGTTCATAACTTCAATAAATTACAGATTTCGAGAATACAAAGAGATTATGATCTCTGACTTGTAAGTACTTTCCTTACTCACTGTGGTTTCCAATTAGCCTAAGAAATCCTTTAGTTCGAGGAAGTTACAGTGTAGGCTTATTTAAGATTGGTGTTTCTACCTTGTATAGGCCTTTGTATGTATTAACAGTACATTGTAATAGTAAATTGTACCTCCCCCACTATGAAAAAAGAAGACCTTGTTTTACTAAAACTGTGATTGTATTCCATTAAACTTAACCTCTTAAAAGAACAAATATCAAACTTTTACACAAGTAAGGCATGTGTTGTTATATAATAGTTATTTCTTCACACTTTGGTTCTTTAGACTTTGGTTCATGTACATTATATATGCCAAAGAAGTATGACTATGTGTATGTATAAATATAATTATCCTGGTATCTCAAACTACTAACTGACAGGGGCTTCTGTCACTAATTTTGCATAAGTAGCGAATAACTTGGCCTCCATTAGTAATGATAGGAATTTTGTAATATTTTGCGATTTGCTAGTGACTATTATCTAGTTAATATATTCTCTTTTTTTTTTTTGCAGATGATGATGTATGAAGTGCATTTAGCTACTCTCTGTGATTTATCCACCATCATATTACTGTATAACCAACTGTTTTTTTACACTACACTTTCTATAAATAGATTTTTACACATTACACATTCTATAAATAGAATTTTTCACATAACACATTCTATAAATAGATATGTTCACATTTTTGCTATAAATAGCATTTATAAACAACAATAATAATGTTAATTAGGTAGTATTTTCACTCTTTAAAAGTGTCAAAAGTATTGTTCACACTTGAGACTTCATGTTTTGGGCCAAATATTGTTAAGTTTACATACTTTAATGTATTTATGTAAGAATACATGTCACATAATTTTTTTTACACAATTTTCATATACATGTATATGTTGACAATGCAAGTTTACACAGCTGTAAGTGTTATCCATTTTCATATAATTATATTGATGTATATCGATGAACATGGCTTGTTGAATAGGTAGATATTTGATAGTAATATTGATACAGTTATAGTTTAGAATCATGTATATTACTTGAAATGGTTTATTACACAACAAATCGCTTGACACAGACTTGACATAAGGCACATGTACACGAGGCTGACATATACATATACATGTACTTGAATTCAATTACTGAATCTTTGTACATGTGTATAAATATTAATTTTGACTGATTAGCAGTTTTAAAATTATATACATAATTGTGTAATTTTAAATAGAAGCATAAAAATCTATGTTATATAATGATGAAATTGTTGTAGTTTTTATTGATGAAAAAAATGTTTTGATATTTTATATGATTATTTTATATTTTAGACCAAAATGACTGTTAAAGCAGCTTTTTTATCTATTATTATATATGTGGACCAAAATTTCTAGAAACTTTTATGGTTTAATATATTGTTGAGCATTTTATACGTATTAGCTGTTATTTATACAAAAAAAGTTGGTTTTGAGTGGATGTAAAAATTTACAGGTATTGATTATATTTAATGATTTATTATTAATTTTCCACAGGTTATCTTTTTTCCCAGATTTAAACTCCCCTCCCCATTCTCAAACAAACTATATGTACTAATTAGTTTCATGCCTGAAATAATGCATGGTACGTCTTCCTCCACCAGTAAAGCTGGAATGTCGCCATATAACCTATACTGTGTCAGTGTGACGTAAAACCCAAACAAACAAACTTAATTCAACAATGTATAAAACAGGTCTAGTAGGAATGTTTCATATAGCAAGCATTGACAAACTTTATAGCATTTCTGGGACAAGTTTAATGTATGTCAATATATGAAATGGCTACATTTGTAATGTTTATTTTATCATATGATAGAATCAAGCTAAAAACCTTATTTAATATATTCTAGTACAGTGCTGAATTCTGTCGGATGGATAAACAGCTGTAAATCTATATTTGACAAGTTGTTAGCAGGGTCTAATATAGGTTTTGCAGCTCTATGTGCATCCAATAGATTCAATATTGTCTTCAGCAATATAGAAAAAAAAACTGTTTATTTCAGACCACTATTTCTTGACAATTTGATAGACTCATATTACATGTATTATAGTATATTATCTGAAAATGAAAACAGCACTAAACGGTGTACAATATTGATCAATTTTTTGGACTCTATAAATAAAAGCGAGTCAAAATTAATGAGAGAATCCAATAAAGATTTGTACCAGGGGATCACATGGTGCAAGCGCCAGAATTTCATTGGTTGGTGTATGATAAAAATAGATACATTAATTTTAAGTAATGCCCTGCGCTTAAAAAGATTATAATGAATAATGCTATATTAGCAAAGTTTATTATATAGTTGATCGAAATACTATAATAGCAAAGTTTGTTATAGAGTCGAAATGCTATAATAGCAAAGTTTGTTATAGAGATTAAATGCTATACTAGCAAAGTTTGTTATAAAGTCAAAATGCTATAATAGCAAAGTTTGTTATAGAGTCAAAATGCTATAATAGCAAAGTTTGTTATAGAGTCAAAATGCTATAATAGCAAAGTTTGTTATAGAGTCAAAATGCTATAATAGCAAAGTTTGTTATAGAGTCAAAATGCTATAATAGCAAAGTTTGTTATAGAGTCAAAATGCTATAATAGCAAAGTTTGTTATAGAGTCGAAGTTAAAATGCTGTAATAGCAAAGTTTGTTATAGAGTCCAAGTTGAAATGCTATAATAGCAAAGTTTGTTATAGAGTCAAAATGCTATAATAGCAAAGTTTGTTATAGAGTCAAAATGCTATAATAGCAAAGTTTGTTATAGAGTCAAAATGCTATAATAGCAAAGTTTGTTATAGAGTCAAAATGCTATAATAGCAAAGTTTGTTATAGAGTCAAAATGCTATAATAGCAAAGTTTGTTATAGAGTCGAAGTTAAAATGCTGTAATAGCAAAGTTTGTTATAGAGTCCAAGTTGAAATGCTATAATAGCAAAGTTTGTTATAGAGTTGAAATGCTATAATAGCAAGAGTTGAAATGCTCTCATAGCAAAGTTTGTTAAAGAGTTGAACAAAGCTATTTTAATAAAACTTGTGTATAAAACTTTAGATGTATATAATTTGTAATTATTTATAACAGCTTATGTTTGATATTATTTTGTAATTATTTGTTGATTGTTTGAGTGAGTGAAATCATAACCCTTAATCTGCTGGGTGCAAAAATGAATTAATTTATGCCACCAATATAGAGCCGGGCCAGCCTTAGTCTGGTTCCCTCCATACATTTACTACAGAAAGTAGTATAAGGGGAAGGAACTCCAGACTAGGCTAGCATGTACTTCCCTTTAGTCTGACCAGGCTATATACTGTTGGCAGCTCAATTTGTGTAATTTGATATTAAAATCCCTTAAACTTTGAATGGAATGTTCCAAATTCAAGGCATGGGCAAATCCATTACACAAATTTAGCAGGTATAGTGTGATATTTATACAGTACTTGTACTCATTTTAAGTCAATTTGAGCCGCGTCATGACAAAACCAACGTATATGCGTTTGTGACCAGAATGGATCCAGACCAGCCTGCGCATCCTTGCAGTCTGATCAGGATCCATGCTGTTCGCTATCAGTTTCTCTACTTGTAATAGAGTTGGTCAGCGAACAGCATGGATCCTGATCAGACTGTGCGGATGCATAGGCTGGTCTGGATCCATGCTGGTGGCAAACCCATTACGTTGGCTCATTTCTCTCATGTTTGACAGATTTCAAGCAGCAAAATCTGTTAGCTTATTTTATAGAACTGTTCTTAGAGAAAAGTTTATTTTCTTGATGTATGTTTTTATGCCCCCGCCATGTAATGGCCGGGGCATATAGTGTTACCCTGTTCCGTCATTCCGTCCTTCCATCCTTCCGTCCTTCCGTCATTCTGTCATTCCGTCATCATCAGTTTCCGTTCATTATCTTAAGAACGGTTGCACACATTCAACTCAAATTTGACATATGGATATGTCATGAGAAAATACAGGTCAAGTTCGAATTTGGTCATGGTTCGATGATTTTTGGCAGAGTTATGCCCCTTTTACTTTGAAAATAATATGAAATTTCAGTTTCCGTTCATTATCTCCCCAACGGTACAACACATTCAACTCAAACTTGACATATGGATATGTCATGAGAAAATACAGGTCAAGTTCGAATTTGGTCATGGTTCAATGATTTTTGGCAGAGTTATGCCCCTTTCACTTTGAAAGTAATATGAAATTTTCATTTTCCGTTTATTATCTCCCCAACGGTACAACACATTCAACTCAAACTTGACATATGGATATGTCATGAGAAAATACAGGTCAAGTTCGAATTTGGTCGTGGTTCCATGATTTTTGGCAGAGTTATGCCCCTTTTACTTTGAAAATAATATGAAATTTTCAGTTTCCGTTCATTATCTCCCCAAAGGTACAACACATTCAACTCAAACTTGACATATGGATGCGTCAAAGGAATGCGCAGGTCAATTTCAAATTTGGTCATGGTTCAATGATTATTGTCAGAGTTATTCCCCTTTCACTTTGAAAGTAATATGAAATTTTCATTTTCCGTTTATTATCTCCCCAATGGTGCAACACATTCAACTCAAATTTGACATATGGATATGTTTTTGGAATGCCCAGGCCAAGTTCGAGTTTGGTCATGGTTCAATGATTTTTGGCAGAGTAATGCCCCTTTCATTTTGAAAATAATATGAAATTTACAGTTTCTGTTCATTATCTACCCAACAGTGTTACATATTCAACTTAAATTTGACATATGGATATGTCAAACGAATGGGCAGGTCAAGTTGGAATTTGGTCATGGTTTGATGATTTTTTGGCAGAGTTATGTCCCTTTCACTTTGAAAATAATATAGATACATCTTAGGAATAAGCAGTTTAAGTTTGAATTTGGTTGTAGTTCAATGATTTAAGACAAACTTATCTTTCCTGAATGTTGGAAAAATTTTGAACTTTCAGCACTCTTACTTTTAGCCATTATTTTGGCTACAAATATGCAATATGCAATTTTTAAAAGGTTTAGACTGAATAATTTCAGTGCCTTGAACATTGTATGAAAATGGTTTGTGTTAACATTGAAAAGTTTTAAGGGCTTTGAACTTAAAATGAAAAAAATAATTAATGCACCATCTGAAATTTTGGCTGCATGTGGGGGCATCCGTGGCATGATGACACATTTCTAGTCTTTTTATTTAAACAAATGAAGTATGTTTTCATATCATTAACACGAAAAGCTATGCAGATAACACTCTTTGTCCACTTTTGATATGATGTGATAGCACCATATAATACATGTATATAAATGTTGTAAAGGTTTGAATTGTTTTAAGTGATATTATTTCCTAAATCAGAACACATTTGGTGATTTATTTTTTTTACTACCTTCCAACCAACAGTTTTTAATTTTAAACCCATTGTCAGCTGAGTAGTAATATGTTACCTTTACTACCTACAACTTGTATTTTGAAATTTTGTCTGTAAATGATGAATGATTTTTGTGTAGATTGAAAGGTGAATAAACCAATATTAGATACTTTTTTGTGATAAGAATTAATTGACCAATGACTGAATTGCTTTCATCAGACTTCTTTAAATGTTGCACATGATGAAAGGATGTGTGCTCAAATTTAGATGATAAAATGTTTCGTAAAGACTTTTCTTTAAGTGAAGGCAAATTCACTGAATGAATGTATCATGCATGTCAGTATCAAAGATTTTTAACTTTTTAGTAGATTTTTATCAAACTTTATACTCTTTTATGGACTTCAGAAATCCTAGCTGCTGTTATAATATTTGAGCAAGTTTGGTCATAACAAGACAATGTAATCTTGAAACCTTATAGGTATGATTGGATGGGTGGTCATTATTGAAGGTCACTGTCTAAGATCCATAAATGATGCCCCTCAGTGAAGTTAGAAAAGTCCTAGTTAAGGTTTTACATAAGCTCTATAAACTTACAACCACTGAAGGAACCATCTGGTCAGGTCAATAGGTTGAGAGTCGGATGGGGAATCAGGCGACCTGGTTTCCATTCCCAGATGGTGCACTGGTCAATTTTGTTGTGATTGATCTTGAAATCCTTTCTATGGTCATTCACACAGTACCTCTGCTCTGGCATGTACAAAAGTTATCAGTTCCTTTCAAAAGCAGAGGCAACTAGTACTGGTTAACTGATTGATGCTGCTTGCCCAGGAATGTTGGCTTACTGCCCTGAGCCAGACTGTTAACTACCAACTCTACCAACCACTGAAGGTTTATTTACCTTCAAGTTCACTTATTCTTCAGGGTGATAATTGTAAAAAATTGACTGAGATGATTTTGACTGAATTATTTTCATTTGTAAATCTTTTTGAAAAATCATGTGTTGCTTTTGTTTTACTATCAATCAGACAGAAAAAAACAAGCATACTGACTTTTTGACAGCTATAGTTTGTAGTACCATGTGCATTTATTTTATTTTTAAAAAAAACTTTGTCATTTTTTTAATAATTATGGTGGATATAACAAAGAATATTGTCAAATAATGTGTTCATATTTAAGTCAATTTACTAGAATCTTTACTGCTACTTTACTAATCATGATTCATAGAAATTTTTCTATTTTTAAAATGATGTTTTAAGAAAATAATAACTTATTGAAGTTTTGTTTTGTTTTTCTGAGTAAATTTGCTAGATGCATTTTATATGTGTAAAAGTGTTTAACAGTTATTTAATCATTTGATTTTATGGTCAATGATCTGTGGGTCAATCTATTACTGCTTTTATGGCCAACTAAATGATATTGTCAATTTTGTGATCACATTTTTAACCTATCATAATCAACACAAGGTTAACATGGTGATAATGTAGTCAACTTAATGATCACATGATCTATATGATGATCACATGGTCAACTTGATGATCACATGGTCAATATGATGATCACATGGTCAACGAAATGATCACTTGATGAATATAATGATCACGTGATTAACTTAAGGATGGCATAATTAGCTACAAAATCTGTATTAAGTAAATATATCGAACACTTCTACAATACTTAGTGATCAAACAATTGACAAGGTGATCACATGATAGACAGATCACATAGTCAATTCAGTAATCATATTTGTTGTTTACTTAGTGATCACATAATCTGCTGAAAGATCACATGTTTTAGTTTGGCAAAGAAGTCTTAAGATTTACTCATTTTGTAAAGTACAGTGTATGTTGAAAAAAAATCTTACACTGAACCTAGTTGAAAATTATGTTGAGAATTTAATGGATGACTGGGCGGAGACTCTGTCTTGATTACTAGTTTCGTACCTATTGTACTTGTAAGGTTGCTAAAAATTATGTACATATATATACAACTGATTTAGTTGAAAATTCTGATTCTGCAGTGATGTATTTAGTGCATTTTATGTTTAAGACTGCATAAGTAG